AGAATGAGATCAGTTATATCAGAGGCGGCAGATGGCATATATTAAGTTTGGCTTCAAAAAATTCTTTCCACCTTATGATGCGATCCTTAATAGCCTTAACACCCCGTTAATAACCCGTATCATTTCACTAGTCCCTTCTCGAGTTATAGTTGCTTTGTGAAGAAGGGGAAATAGTTTCCTATTATCACCTAATCAAGCCGCCGTCTCAATTCTCAAGGCCATTTCGTTCCAATAGTAATTTCTGACCTGCAGTGCTGTTGCAATCCTTTGAATCCGAAAGTCAGAATCTCCTGGCATTCGGACTTTGGCACAGATATCCAACTTGCGCATTTCCCACTATTACCCTAATGTGGCTGACTTTTGTCATGTCTTTAGTTGGGACCAGTATTCATTCGCCGTACCAGAGTTGTCATTCATTTCACTGAGATGTATCAATGAAAGTAAAACCCATACAAAATTCTCAATACATTCTTTACATTCTTTCAACGGCAATTGACCAATATTTAGTCAATTTAATTGGAATACTGGTCCGGACAGTTCTACATGACTATCTTCTATAGCTTCTCCGATGCCAAAAGCAAGTATTAATAACAAAGAGCTCGTGCTATTCGGCCAAACGAAGAAGGCGTTCCATATTGGCGCACTGGACCTCGATGCCATATTTGCCAATCACCGAGTTTATCGAAACGACATCATAACCTACGCGCGCATTCCATTCTCTCCTGAGTATGACCTTGTCACCTCTCGGTAGGGATAACTGTTAACTGTTGAAGTTCCGTATAGAATTTATCCTTATTGTAGTCTGCTCATAAAGTAGGAGCGTATACATTGATAACCGAAATATCGCAGAACATTCCTTTGAAACGTGCCTAAGCCATGCGGTCATTTACTAGCTTTTATTCAATCAAAGCTGATCGAGCAGACCGCTACGCTATTTCGCTCTGAGTTATCCGAGACACTTTAGTGATATTGCCAATATCTTTGCTCGAAACCAGGTTTAATAATTACTCGAGAGCAAACATGAGGACCCTCTACAGACAAAACACGTCCACGCTGTATTTAAAGAGGCTGTGGACAGCGATCGCTTGACGTGCAAAATCCATAAGCGTTCTGACGTTCCAAGCAGCTATAGCCAGCACCTCACCACGCTTACAAAATGTTAGCGGATAAATTCTCGTTTGCCTTGACGGGTTTTGAGCAATTATCTCGGTTCGCGAATATATTCTATGCTCACGCCTTGGAATTATTTTATTATTACGCCTGGATATATATTTATCACATTCAAACGGATCAGAAGTATCGTGTCGGAAGACGTTGCATCAAAGAGACCTCAGTGGATAGCCAAAAATCCTCATCTTAAATTTTTAATTTATTATAGTTATGTAATTTGACTAGATTTGCTATATAATGAACGAGATTTACAGATTTACTAACAGACTCTTTCGAAATAAAAATTGGTGTTCGTCAAGGCTACGTCTTTCCAATATTCAACTATGCGATAGACTGAATAACGAACATCGCTTTCGGCATTCAACGAATGTACAAAATCAGTCCAAAGCACAATATCACAGATCTCGAATATGTTGATGATGCAGTTCTTATTGTTGACACTGCATTACAATTATAGTGAAATATAGATAATACTAAGTAACGGCCGGATTCGCGATATGAAACGAAATCCTTTTCGTCCTAAAGGAACTGATAAAATTTCTATTTTTATTAACTCATCGTTGGTGAGGATGGGCCAGACTTTAAATACCTTGGATCCACTTTAAGCCTTACAAGCTATCAAGCGAAAGACGAAACAACATAGATGGCAGCGACTAAAAATGCGTTCAAAGTTTTTATAGAGAAGTCACGAAATTCGCGCCTTATAGTCTATAGTTCGCTCGATCTTGCTATGGTTGCGAGCATGAACCAATGAAAATAGAGGAGAGTGAATATTTAGATGTTACCTACCTTTGACCACTCATGTATAAAGTACATTTTGCGGATCCGCCAGCAAATAGAATGACTGTATCCACCCTCAGACGCCACTTGCACTGACAGTACTATCATAGAACGTCGTATTCGCTGGTTAGCACACGATCTCACGTTCAGCACAGCAGTTGATACATATTTCGTTACTTGCTAAACCTTGTAATGGATAGCGTCAAAAGCCATGGGATTCAACCAAGATATGGACTGATCAAAAAGATTTTAAACGTATAAATGGACCAGCGATATGGACTTAGACGATAGAAAAAAGAATGGTCTTCTATTACTGTCTACGATAGAGTTAAATCGAACATCTTGGAAACGTTTTACTCTTGTAGCCTATAGTTGAGAGCAGCCTAATCAGTAATGATAAGAGCTGTTAGAAGAAGAAAAAGAATGTGTCTATATGCATAATTGAGTCTGCCAGCGCATAATGGATGTTCATAATTCGGTCTATAATTCAGCCTAACCAAAGATTGTGGGGGAAGAATATAACACTAATACCAATGTTTATTTTGAAAATAATGCTCTCAAATACTTCTGGTGATGTAAGCTGGTGAAATTGTCAAGAACACCGCCGAGTTCCTAAGCGTCTTCCTATCTATTGAATTAAAAGAAACTGCGAAGCAAGTGAAGTGAAGTGAAAGTGAAATGAGTTGCCGATTGAAGCAATATTTTAAGCAGCCTTCTAAGCGTGAAGACTGCGCCAGGAAAACAGTACACTGGCATAAATCGAGCTTGGTTGGGGAGCTCATACATTATACATTAGCAGTCTGTTTAGCGAAAAGGGGAATAGCCAGCAGCCTGATTTCTCCTAGTCGAAGTCCATGCTATCGCCTTTCTTCACAAAATTCATTCTCTTTCCTGTCCATCGGCTGAGAACTATTTGTCAAGAGACCATCTTCGCCACTCCAAGTTTTACGGGCCTTTCGCTCGTTAATACCGCTGAATATTTCGTATAATTCGCCTGCACTGATTGAAATGACCAAAAATTAGCAAAAATGTCTTTGATAATTCAACATTTCTATTATCACTAACATATCGAAAACCTCATTTGTTCAACAAGAATATAAGCAGTGACCGAAAAACTAAGTCGAAGACGGCCGACCGCACAAAAGGCTGATTGCGGCTATGGAAATATTTTCAAGCTAATTTAGTTTTAGCAAATTTTTTTCTATTTACGGCTTGTATGGGTGCGAAATTTTTGCTGTTGGATTTAGCGAGGACTGTAAGTAAACTGTAAGGTCTTTGTTATGGCAACATTACGGATTATTCAGGCTGCGCCGGCTACAAGGGTAAGGTGTCTCCAGGCCGTTCGGTCCGGTGCCATCACTGGCAGTAATAGAAGCCATTCCTTTTTGCATCATCTGAGTTCATGTATCGCCGGCCCTCCTATAGGTTCAAGCCTCACTTTTGACACTATCCGTTACAAAGTTTAGCGTGCCCTAACCAGCGGAAGCGACGCTTTTTAATGGCAATATAAAAGGTGGTATTTGAGCAAAGGTATATGCAACCATGTGAGATTTTATCCGCTCGGCGGATTCGTAAAATATATATATCTTAGACATGGTCAAAAGTAGATAGCTTCTTAATATTTTCCACGCTTATTGGCCATGTCTCATATATAGTCATATAGCAAAAACTATAGCTTATATAAACCATTATGCAAGTTGTAATTTCGTCTTTCGCTTAGCCGTTTGGGATGTTTGGGAATAGAGTGAATCCAATATATTTAAATATTCAGCACTTCCTCAACTGGCAGTGGATTAATAAAGAGGCATTCATCAGCTTCTTGCAATTATGATGAAAAAATTTTCGTTTTATTATATTCACCTTGAATCCGATTCTCGCTGCAGTTATTATTTACATTTCGTCATAACTATCGGCAAAAAGGACTACCATCAGCGTATTCAAGATCTGTTACACGATGCTCCGGACTGATTTGGACACTTCTTGAGTGTCCAAATCCCGACAAGCGGTGTACTTTTATACAGTCTATCGCGTAGTTGAATATCGTAATAGAAAGGGCGCAACCTTTACAGATGCAGTTCTTATTTCGAAAGAGTCCGTTTTTATTTGCACGGAATAAAACTGTGGGAATAAAATTCTTTGAGTTGGATAATCTTCTCTGGAATTTCATCATATTCCATCACCCTCCAAGGCACTGCTCTATCAGTTGATCCGAGGTAGCTAAAAAATCGATGAAACGGGATGGTGGGTTGCCGATATTTGAAGCGATGTTCAATCGCCCTTAACGAGCTCAGAATTATAATAATGATAAATAAGAAATATTTTTATTTTTGAAAGTTAATTTTGAAAATTAAATTAAATTAGAAAAAATGATAAATTTTTCGATAAATTTTTCTTTCTTTAATTTCTTATATTTTTTTCGTAATTTTCCACTAGTATAATATAATAGTATCGGTACTGGTGTGGTGGGCTATCCGTTTTGTTACTAATCTTGCAAGTTCAGATTATACGATTGTGATTTGTTGGCCAAAGGAGATAGTATCATGGAAGTACGAGTAAATGATTTCAGATTTTTAAAATATTCGTGGTAAATGCAAGGGAACAAATGTTAAGAGAGCATAACGTTAGGAAAGAGTATAAAAATAAAGACAGTCGACGAAAAGGAAAAAAAAATATAGAGAGAAAGGGGAAAGCATGTAAATCATGTTGTTGGTAGCAAATGGAGCATTTGACCAATATAACTTTTCATCATTTAAAAATTTAAATTTTTATTTTTACAGCTCGCAATGGCTCGTAAGGAGCGAAGAAAAGTTGCTGAATTATTGTTTTACGAAGAAGAAATTCAGAAAATTTGGGAAGAAGCAAAAGTTTTCGAAGTTGATGCACCAACGGATAGGTAAATCGTTTTCTTATTTCTTCGAAGAAAAAATTGGCAATTACCGGAAAAAATGAAAGCAAAAATAATAAAATAATAATGAAATGTAAATTGAATTTGATAATTAAAAAATTAAATAATTAAAAAATGAATTACCCCTAGTCGTTTTGTGCAGTTTGTACAATTTATAAAAAATTTAGAAGTATAGCGAAATACATGGTAACGTTTCCTTATCCATATATGAATGGCCGTCTTCATCTTGGTCATACATTTACTCTTTCGAAATGCGAGGTACTTATTTAACTTTACTGATCTTATGAGGAAATTAAAATTATATTATATGGGCAATAACGGTAATTTATTGGTGATAAGTATTAGAACCACAGTAGGCTTGAAAAAAGGCGTATAGATGAGGTCGGATAAAGCAAATTATTTTCTTCATCACAAAATATTATAAATTAATTATTATTAATTAATATTATAAATTATTGATAAGGAAATGATAATAATATAATGCACTATAATAATAATTAATAATAATAAAGATAATAGTACTCAGTAGAAAGAATGATTGAAAAAAAATGGAGAAGAGCATATAAATATATTGCTCTTCGACTATATTGACTGGAAAGTACCAGAAACCTTGATTGATTAATAAGCAGTAAATGCTGATATTATTAATAAATAAAGAATATTAGATATTAATAATTAATGATAATAATGTAATAAATTATGGTGCATTTAATAGCGCTGGTGACAATTTTTACAATTTAATTATATTACATTAATTCTGAATAAAAATTGATAATAATAATTTATAGCAGTAGAAGATAACAGTGAAAATGGTAACAAATTATGAAATTTTTTTCTTCATATTTCTTTATTTGCTTATAAAAATCTCATTAACATTGTGATTTTAAGTTTTTTAAAGCAAGATTTATAAAAGTGTTATTAATGGGATTATCAATTATCAATTTAAAATTAAAGTAATAGCAGATTTTTTTTCCAACCAAGTTTTGGAAAATTCGAGAAATATTCGAAAAAATAAAAAACATTATTGAAGCATTAAACATTATTGAAGGAGTTGAAGCATTATTGATAAATTCTAAATAAATGAAAACTAATATTTTTTTGCTTAAAAATTTTTTTAGTCGAATTCTTTTTATTTAAAAAAAAGAAAAAAAGATTAAAGCATCAATCATTTTTTGTTGTATTTAATTGTACTTAATTTATTTCAAATAAAAGATTTTTGATAATTTGATGAGATTGGTGCTTTAATTCTCAGTTTTAGAGCATTATTGCAGTTCACGATAGGATATCAGCGTTTGCTGGGCAAGAATTGCATATTTCCTTTCGGATTACATTGCACGGGCATGCCAATAAAGGCGTGTGCAGATAAACTTGCACGTGAGATAAAAGAATTTGGTTTTCCTCCAAAGTTTCCACTTAATGAAGAGAATCCCAGTGAAGTGGTGGAAAATGTCGAGGATGAGGCAATGAAAAATAAAAGCAAAGGGAAAAAAGTATATCTTATGATATAAAAAGTTGGAGGGAATTTTTTTAAGACCAAAAATTTTTTTTATTATTTTCATTATTGCTTTACATTCGTTGTCTTTTAATTTGTTTACTTTACTTTGCAGTATTGTTGAAAATCGTAGACTAAATGAGTAAAATTTTTAGAGTAAAGCTGTTGCTAAATCTGGTGGAGCAAAGTATCAGTGGCAAATAATGGAGTCACTTGGACTTAGTAGTGGTGAAATTGCAAAATTCGTTGATCCAAATCATTGGCTTAAATATTTTCCTCAACATTGCATTAACGATTTAAAAAAGATGGGTGTAAAGGTTAATTTTACTATTAATATTGCTCTTGAAGCATAAAATACATTTAAAAATTTTTTTCCTAAAATGCATTGATTCAAGGTTGATTGGCGACGATCTTTTATAACAACTGATGTGAATCCATTTTATGATTCTTTTGTCTGTTGGCAATTCAGAAAATTGCAATTTTCGAAAAAAGTACGATTTGGGAAGCGTTATACTATATTTTCTCCTAAAGATCAGCAACCATGCATGGATCACGATCGTTCAAGTGGTGAAGGCGTTGGTATCCAAGAATATACTCTGATTAAGTTGAAAGTATAATTTATTATTTTTGTTTTAAATTCGTTTAATTTTTAATCACTAGCAGTTCTTACGAAAATTTTTTTGAGGTGTTGAATCCTAAACCTGCAGTATTATCCGAAATTGATAAACCAATTTTTTATGTTGCTGCTACTTTAAGACCAGAAACAATGTATGGACAGACTAACTGCTATCTTCATCCCGATATGGAGTAATTTTTTTTTATCATTTATTAAAAGTTTTTTTTTAAATCGGCAAACCATGAATTTTAAGGATTAGCATTAGACGTGATTGAGATTCAAAGAATTCTTTCTCTCATTTTTGAAAAATTTTTGATTTTTAAAGAAAAAATAAACAGAATAAGTTCAGTTTCGCATTAGGTTTGTTTGTAATAATTTTTTACCATCCCCATCATCTTTTTGATGAAATTTTTTTATCAGATATTGTGCGTTTTATGTAAATGCCGATAAAAGTGAAGTTTTTGTGGCAACAAAAAGAGCTGCTCGTAATATGAGTTATCAGGGATTCACCCAAAAAGATGGAAATATTTGTTTTGTTGAAGGCTTAGAGAAGGTATCTTTTTAATAGGTTATCTACTAAATAATTTCTTTTTTCTGAAGTAAATTTTCAATTAAGGATTTTTCTTGCTTTAAAAATTCGGGTTACTCTTGAATTTTATATAATGTAGCAATTATTATGTACTTCGAGGTTCACTTTCATTACATTTCACTCACATTTCACCTCTCAATTCTGTAATGGCACTTCAATTATCATTCGAAGAACATTTGCGAATTTGCTAAAAAAAAAATTGCAACGTAAAACGTTGTCGCAAAAGGCGAACACACACACAAATAAAAAAAAAAAAACAAATTAAATTTCTCAAATAAATGCTGTGAATCAGCATACTAATCTTATATTCCATTTCCTTTTTTATGCCCAAAAAAAACCTAATTTATCATACCAAATTCTCATTTATTCAGGCATAAACAAATAACTATAGTTTTTATTACACACATCTGTTAATTATGCACCGCATGCTATTCACACAAAATTTTTTTTCGTTAATGAAAATATATATATATGCATATGAAATAGACCAGTTTAAACTTATATGTTTTTTAAATTATACTTTAAGTTTATTCTATGTGTTTTTAATTATGTATGGGATATTAGGCTTCCCCTTTTTTCCTTTTCATTTGTTCTTAATTTTTCTCTTCAACTTTATTGTTTATAAATTTATATTATAATAAAGATAAATTCATAGTCTGCCTGGGGACAAACCATTAGATCAACAATTTAGAACCGCTTCCCTTCCGTTTCAAGTCATTTTCGTCCAATCTCATATACTGAATCTCGCCAATCCCTTCCCAATGCCTCAGTCCTCCACAACAAAAACAAACGTTGGATAAAATCGCTGAGAAGATAGGTTATACCAGTCGAACAATATTCAGTCATATGTATGCTATGGGGAAATCAAGTAAATATTTTAGTTAATGCAATGAGTTCACCATAAAATCATCGAAGAATGAATATTTTAACATCAATCTGTGCTCTGCTTCTCTCGATAGAAAAAAGAATCGTTTTCGGATTGGTTTTTAGATTTGAATTGTCATTAGCAGTCAAAAATATATGCTGTATAATAATAATAGGCATAAAAGCTATCGATTATTGTAAGGAAAAATACTAACAATAACTCCTAAACTTTAATATTCATAGCAAAAAAGTAGTGCATGTCTTGTGGAGAATAAAAAAGATAATTCATTGTGAGCTGAAAACTTATCTAACTATTATTTCAACTAATGTTTATTTCAACTGATTTATTGTTCTTCATTAACAGATTTTGTTGAAATTGGCTATTAATAGTTAATAGATTGCAGAAAAGTCCGTTATTACAACAGTACAAGACTTTATGTTTTAAAAAAACCAAGGAATATGGCTGTGGAATTCCAGCTCATTTATTTTATAGTTCTGATATTGCCTGATTTCCATTTGTTCAGTCAGAGTACTATTTAGTGAAAAAACATTCATTTCTTTTTATCTGTGAAACAAATATTTCAAATCCGAGGATAGAACGTTCTGCAAAAAAAGAATTCGTGAAATAGTTTTTAGATGGTTAAAAAGTTGTGGAAAGTGATGATGTTTGTGTAATTAATAATTGATTCAATTATACTATATAATTGATATAATTAATTAATTGCGCAATTTTCCTGATATTTTATTTTTTTCATGTTTTTCCTGATAATTTCAAATTTACAGTTAAAATAGGAAATTATCTGATTATATTATATTTGATGATATTACATTTTCGGAATTACTTTTTTCAATTTTTTTTTTGATCGGAATATTCTATTTTATTTATTTTTCATCAAAAAGTTCAACTGAATTAAGTAAGAAATAATGATTTTGGTTCTAGATCAACGGAAAAGATCTACTGGGTGCATCACTGAGAAGTCCGTTAACAATATATGATCATATTTATGCATTGCCTATGTTAACCATTAATTATGATAAAGGTGATGATAAAGGCTTTTTTTTGATCTTCGTCTACAGCTTTTTATTTTTTTTCTTTTATTTGTTGCTGTGTTATTACTGCGGATTGATATTGTCAATTTGTCAATCTCACATATATAAATTTTGATAATTAAGGTACTGGTGTGGTTACGAGTGTGCCGTCTGATTCTCCAGATGATTACGTCGCTTTCTGTGATTTGAAAAAGAAAAAGATATTAAGGGAAAGATTTAGAATAGCTGATGAAATGATTTTACCATTTGAACCGGTCGATTATCATTTTTTATCATTCGGCATTATTTTTATTTTTTTTCATATTCTTTTTCATAAACTTTTAATAAATTTCAAAAATTCAGAACGGATTATTTAAATGATTTAAATTTTAAATGCTAAATCTTATATATTTATGAGCAAATTTATGAGCAAATTTAGAATGCTGTCGGAAGTTGTTAATCTGGATTTGTTTGGCATGAAACTTTATTTTATTTCTTGTAACTTAAGGTCCCTATAATTGATATTCCTGGATATGGAAATTTGGCTGCAATTTCCTTATGTGAAAAATTGAAAATTGAGAGTCAAAATGAGAAGGAAAAACTCGAAGAAGCAAAGAAAGAAGTGTATTTAAAAGGATTTTATGATGGTGTATTTACTTCTTATATCGTTTTTTTAAATATCGTATTTTTAATTTATAACTTTTAAATCCTTCAGTTTTAATTTTCATTTTCAATTTTTGATTACGATTTCTTATGTTATATTTTGCATCCCAAAATTTTGAACCATTCTTTTCTAAGAATCACTATTCCAGATAATGTTGGTTGGCAAATATGTGGGGGAAAAGGCTGCTGAAGCAAAGAAAAAGATACAAACAGATATGTTTGAATCTGGTGATGCAGCAAAATATGTTGAACCTGAAAAAAAAGTTGTTTCTAGATCAGGCGATGAATGCATTGTCGCTCTCTGCGACCAGTGGTAACTTTTAATTTCCAAACTTTTTTAGCCATTATATCTCTATATTTGTTTACTAAAGGGAATTATTAGTCAGTTATTATGTTTCATTGGTTTCATTTCTAGGTATCTTAATTATGGTGACCCAGAATGGAAAAAAGAAGCAAAAAAAGCACTTTCTTTATTAAATACCTATTCTGAAGAGGTTTGAGAATTTTTCATTTTTTTGGATTAATTTTATCTTATTTGTATAAAATTTTATCATTTGAATAAAATGAGAAATAAAAAAATTAACCCAAAAATTTGCCGATAATAAGGATAGATTAACAATGAAACTTTTTTAAATAAAGATGTATATGCAAATTTTTTGGAGAGTTTCGAATTATTTTTTATTTTAATGTCTTAAAAATTTAATGAAGTAATGAAGTAATAAAGTAATTGTAAAAGTTAAATAGAGTAATTGTGGAAAATCTGTTGTATTTTTATTGTTATATATAAATCTTTCTATTTTTTACCAAAAATTTTTTGTTATATATTTACTGGAAAATTGTAAGGGTTTCGATCGATAACTGTGTTCCATACGTGTGAATTTTATATCTAATTTTATAAATTACATGAAGGTGCGCCATAATCTTCATTCCACGATTGATTGGTTGCATGAACATGCCTGTTCGAGATCATATGGTTTAGGTTCAAGATTGCCTTGGGATCCTCAATATCTCATTGAGTCTTTATCGGATTCGACGATTTACAATGCATACTATACAGTTGCTCATTTATTACAAGGCGATTCCTTAGATGGAAGCGGTACTGGAAAATTGGGAATTAGGTTTGCAACTTTGGTTGTTTTCGGTACCATATTCGATACACAATGATTTTGCCGATATTTTTTCAGGGCTGATGAGATGACTGATGATTGTTGGGATTATATATTCCTGAATGCTGCATATGATAGTTCCAAGATGTTTATTAGTGAAGAAAAACTGGAAATAATGCGAAATGAATTTCTTTACTGGTGCCTTTTGTTTTAACATTAATTAAAATAATTTAATTTCTAAGAATTTATGTTGTTTATAGGTATCCGGTGGACATGAGAGCATCTGGTAAAGATCTTTTGCAAAACCATTTAGCATATTATTTATTCAATCACGTAGCTATTTGGAATGATCATCCAGACAAGTGGCCGAAAAGTTTCCGAGCTAATGGTCATTTATTACTTAACAATGAGAAGGTATGTTATCTCCTTCTGCTATTTCAAAGAATTAATAACCACAGTTTTCGTTTGATTCTAGTTATTTTCTTTATGAATGAGTTATAACGTCGATAACACCCACGAGTTATATTGCTTCAGAAAGCTTAATAGCCACAGGAATGAGATTAAGCAACGAGGAATAACAAAGGAGAATAACAAAGAATAATATAAACAATATATGGCGACAGGTTACGAGCTAAAAAATTATCACTTTTCTACAGCCTGATAAGTTTAAAAGGATTATATTGTAGATATATTCAACACATTCATTGCTGGTTAGGCTCGTTCTTCTGGGCTTATCAAATGGCTTGAACTTGATAAATAACTTGATAAATATGCTCCTTAACAATAGACATACGGGTGAGCTGGGGATTTTCGGAGGGCAGGTTTATGCTGGTTGCGGATCCTCATCGGTGCTTCATACCTACGCGATTCTCTGTTTTCCTTTAAAGTTGCACTGGGTTCGAACTTCGATTCTCAATGGAAATTATGTTGAAAAAAACACTGAGCCATAGAACTAACACGTGAAAATGTCGTTGTCATTATAAAATTGTAAAATGCATTGGAAAGATTAGGCTAATATTCCAAAATTTAATTATTATTTAATTTAATTATTAAATTTAATTATTATTTACTAATCAATTTAATTAATTAAATTTAATTATTATTTAAAACAACTGTTTATAAAGCTTCGGGAGATTCTCAACAGTGCTTAGTGGTAATATATAGTTGAATGAAATCGAAAGATGCTCTTTTTCTATACTTAAAGACCTGGGGAACAATTTCCAGTGTGTGCGTTTAATATGTTTCATTTATTTTTAGGTTATTAAGAAATTTATACAAATTTAATGCAATTTAAAATTTTAGATGTCGAAGCAAACAGGAAACTTTTTAACATTGGCTGAAACTGTCAAGTTATTTTCTGCCGATGGGATGCGCTTATCGCTCGCTGTTAGTTTGTTGTTTTATATTTTTCATCGAATTTCATATATCATTATATACCTTCCCTTTTACACTTTTTTTTCTTAATAAGATTTTTATTTTCTTAAATACAAAATATCTAAAAAGATCAGTTGTTTTTTTTTAGGACGCTGGTGATTATATTGAAGATGCTAATTTCATATTCAGCATGGCTGATGCCGCTGTACTTCGTCTGTACAATTTGCTAATTTGGGTTAAAGAAATGATGGAATTACGTGCACGTAATGGTTTACGTACTGGTTCTGCGCGAACTTTTGCCGATCGCGTATTTATTAATGAAATGAATAGAGCGATAGCGCAAACCGCCGATAATTATGAAAAAACATTATTTAAAGAGGCTTTGAAAACAGGGTTCTTTGAATATCAGGTTGAACTTTTATAATAAATATAAAATATTAAAATATGGTTTATTGTTGGACAGAACAACTTAAATCTGTCAATTATATATATTGCATTATACCTGCAAATCCATTAGAATCTGTAAAGTAAACAATATTCCTTATTTTATTTCACAGGTTATTAACATTATTAATTGCAAAGCGATCTTGTTATGACAAGTTTCCTTTTTTCCTTTTTTCAGGCCTACAGAGATAAATATCGGGAATTCTGTGGTAGCGATTCAGAAATGCATGTTGATTTGGTTTTTAGATGGATCGAAACCCAAGCCATTATCCTATCACCAATTTGCCCTCATATTGGAGAGAAAATATGGAAAATTCTCAAAAAGGTTGGGATATTCAAAATTTTGAAGCCATTACTTATATTTCACTGAACTGAAGTTTTAAATTTTGAGGAAATCATTAAATATTCATACTTAATTTATTTTTTATTAATTTATTAATTTATTTAATTTATTTAAAAATTTATTTTACTCTTCTTGAAAATCTTTTGCATTATTTTTAGGACAGTTTGATAGTATGTGAACAATGGCCGGTTGCTGCTCCAGTTGATGAACTGGTAGTCAAAGAGGCTGAATTTATTGATGATGCAATCAAAGTGATTTTATATTTCTTTTGAACTGAACATTTCGGTAATTCGGTATGCTATGTATTCACTAAATAATGAGCCAAAATCTGCCATATTTTTTTAAAACCTCTGTTAAATAAAATATACAAATGTGTATGTAAGGGAATTTGGCGGGAATTTTGAAGATATTTCAAAGGCTAGAGCTTGAATGCAATTCTATCCATCTGTAGTATGGGCATTTTTTCCTATCTAATAATAATAGCTACTCGTTTTACAATCTTATTTTTGTACTTTTATTTTATTTAAAATTCAGGATTTTCGTGCACGCTTAAAGAACTATATGAAAAAGCGAAGTTCAGCTGAAGGAACTTTACCATCAGAAGCAGTAATTTATATTGCTCATGAATATCTAGGTTGGCAGCGACAGGTTTTGCTTATTCTTGGGGATATGTATGAGGTGATTTTTTTATGTCAATTTTACAGTCGATGAGAAGCGTTAATTTTCAACAATTGTTATTAGTGCTTTTTTTGAACGTTAAACGTTATATAATAATAACGTTGTATAATAATAAACGTTATATAATCGTTATATAATAATATAATATAATAATAAGTCGTTATATAATAAAATCAATGAAAAATCATTGATTCGTGCCAATAAACCGCATAATTTATTTTTGAATTTTATTCGTTTTTTCAAACTTTTTTGGATCTGTAGCTTTTGCTTTAACATAGTTTGTTTAAACGACTATTACAGCAATAAGTATAAGTGATCAATATCATTTGCTTAACATTTTGTTTTTTATATCGTTTCATTAGCTTTTAGAGCATCTATCATAAATTTGAATTTAAAGAGAAAATTTTGAAATTTTTTCTCTTCCTCTTTACTTTATTTAATATAATGAATGAATTCTTTAGGACCACAGATTTTTTTATGGACGAATTTTTATATTTCTTATGAACTACTGAACTTTGTGATTCTAGCTTGATTTTTTAGAAATGCGGTGGTCTATTACCCGATAACAAACTTGTTTCTCGTCAACTTTTGTCCGACGATTCATTGAAAAAAGTTTCGAAAAAAGTAATGCCTTTTGTACAGGTGATTAGAGAAAATCTAAATATACATGGTGTATCAGCACTTGATACTGCTTGCCGTTTTGATCAAGCGGAAGTTCTTCGTGAAGTTAGTCATTTCTTATTGTTCTTAAATCATTGCATATTCTTACTTCATATAATTTTTTGTTCCATTATTATTAATTCATTTTACTCTTTCAGAATTCAGAATATATATTAGCTTGTTTGGAACTAGAAAAATTCGATATAGCAGATGTGACTCTGGGAAATGTTGATAAAAGCATTATTGAAGCTACCCGTCCTGGTCGACCGATTATTATTTTTTTCAAACCTGAGGTTTAATTTTATTTATAATTCTTAAATATTTGTTTTATTTCATATTCGATTGTTTAGGGTGTTGGGATAAGATTAAAGTTTCGCAATGTCGATCCATGTTCTGGTTTATTTGATGCAAATGTGGAAGTGCTTGATCAAGATGACACCTCAACAGTTGTTCGTAGACTTCGACGTGTAAATAAAGCAATAAAATGTTGGTAATTAAGATTTTTCAGTTTTTTGTTTTATTCAGAAATTTTTTTAAAGCAATTAATGATTATATATTTTATCGTTATATATTTTTCGTTAATTAATTATTGCTATAATTTCGTTATTTTCTTCCATTTTAGCTCGGTTGAAAATTTTTTTATTCCGTTATCTAGATCCAGTTGGTGGCGACCGAAAATTGATCTCTATGGATAAACTGCTAGAAGGAAATGTTCGTATCGGCGAAAATGGTAGAGTTATTGTAATAATTTAGAAATAAAGGCTTCATTATTAATGCGCCATTATCTTATTTATTTTAGTCATTGACTTAGTATTAAATGATCTTTTTCATTAATTACCTTGATAAATATGAATTTTTATTGTATTTTTCTTTGTCGTTTATTCGTTTTTTCAGCAATATTTATCGTCGATGCAAATAATGGTGTAATTAGATTGAAGGAAAATGATTCCATTTATGATATTGGTCAAACAGTAATCTATCGTTGCGCTGGATTTTGATTTTTGCCAATTTTTTTATACAGTTTTATCAGTTTTATTAATTCAATTATGTTTCGAAGATATTTTATTTTCCTTTATGTCGGAAATTTGTTGCCAGAAATTTGGCGTAATATGAGATGAATGGTTATTAACTTCTCATGAAAAAAATGCTTGTCTTTATGCATTTAATTCGTTTAATATTATTTCTTGAATCATATCGTAAGTATCTCTGAAGCCCCTTGTTTGAACCTTCGTTCTAAAATTGGATGATAAAATTGGGTCAAAAGTAGTTTTCACCATTTTTATTAAACAATTGATTATTAATGAAAATTTGAAAAATCTCATATTTCTTCATCTTGCATAAGTATAAGAAAATTCGAGATTTTCTCTTTTATTTTTTCTCTTTTTTCTTCAGTTTTTCTTAGTTTTTCTTTTTACTGCTCTCTAAATTTCACAAAAAAGGTGGAATTGTTTGAATTTTAAATCATTTAGTTCTTATGGAGTTGTTATGGTTTTATTATTTTCTTATTTTAATTTAAATTTGCCTTCAGAATTATGGAAGGAAGAAATTACTCATGGTTTTTATATTTTGCGTTATTTTACTGTTTATTTTTGGCAGTTTTGTTGAATTTTCGAGTTATTTGTTTTCTTTTCTATGAGAATTAGTAAAATTGTTTTTTTTTGTAATTTTCCTTTTATTATTCGGACATTTTTTGATACATTTCGTTATTTTCCGGTACAGAATATTTTTACACTTACAGTTTTATTCGATTAAAAAGTTGGTGCTCGTTATTTCTGCCTAGGCTCGCTGTGCTATCTTAGTGCGACAAGAAATTTGGGAAGTCGATGTAGAAGTGCAGATAAGTTTTAGCAGCAACGGGAATTTTATTATAAAGTTTAGGTCTGTTGGAGGAATTGTCTATTAAAACTTGATCCACTGGATGCGATTAATGACGCAATGATTTGAAAAAGACTTTTTTAAGTTTCTAAGGTGTTTTTTCATAATAATAATAGTAGTAATATAATAATAGTATAATAATATAATAATATTAATAGTGATAATGAATATTGATAAACAAGTAATATCTAATAAATTTGAGGTAATAATTGACAATGATATTAATGATATTGATATTTTATTAACATTATTATTATTAAATAATTTTAATGAAATGGATGCGTTTAGATTGCAATGCCTGAGAATAGAGCCACAACAAATGGTGATAATTCAATCTCTATTTTTCAACAGATTTTAGCGTCATCGGTAGGTGCTATCATCACGTCGTTGCTGAGTATGTTTTGTTTCAATTTTTTAGTGTTTCGCAATTGAACTTTGGTGGCAAAACACGCATCAATTCTCCTTGAAAATAATTTGAACTAAGCAAAAATTTCTTCGGTTGTATTTTTATAAGTGACTAGTGAAACATTTGGGACTCTTACATATTTTTGTGCACTTTGTATTTATTACTTCCGTAGGTAATAAGTTTTTCCTTTTAGTGACACCTATGGACGTCGTTAAAGTTCGCCTTCAGCAACAAATTCATCAGCACAAGAGTGTGAATACCAGAATCATGAGATCATTGGTAAAGAAAAATTGTTGTTTGCCAAATCAAATTATTTTAGTGACTCCATTCGATGTTGTAAAAATTCGTCTTCAACAGCAGGCCCATCCATTCGTTAAAGGATCTTGTTTTTTGTATAGTAACGGACTTATGGATCATCTCTGTACTGCTTGTGTTAACAGTGTTGCAAAGGAATCGTGTGAGTGGTTTCAAAGGCCTTCAAATTTCACTGGAACCAAGGTTCTTTTATAAATAAATTTTTCCTGAATACCCTTTTTTTCTAAATTTTTTCTGCAAGTTTCCATTTTTTAAAAATTTTATAGGATGCTTTCATGAAAATTACAAAAAATGAGGGCATTCGTTCATTATGGAGTGGATTGTCACCTACACTGTATGTTTCACTTTTTTTGTAGCACAGGCAGTTGATTTTAAATAACATTTAATTATGAAATTATCTGTTATATTTCATTTATTGGTTTTGCTCCATTTTTTTCATTCATAACCTGGCGCATTAATGCATATATGCTGTTATTCTTCTTGTCTTCCATTATCTTATTATCTGTTTAGAGTTATGGCAGTTCCGGCTACTGTGCTGTATTTTTCACTTTATGAAAATGTGTTAGATTGGATACGAAAATCATATGAGGGTAATTTTTGGTCGCCAATGATCGCAGGTTCAGCAGCCCGTCTAGCATCTACCACTGTTGTTTCACCTCTTGAAATGGTTCGAACAAAAATGCAAAGTGAACGACTTACGTATTATGGTATATTTCATTGTTTTACTATAATTTTTCATTTTTCTTCCCATATGGATTATTTTAATTTTAATATTTATTTATTTATTTTCAGCATTTCATTATTAATTTTTTTCCTAGAAATCAATGTTCTTATGAAGAGGTCTTTGAGATTGGAAGGATGGAGAAGTTTTTGGCGGGGTTGGTCACCTACAATTATGCGGGATTTGCCTTTCTCAGGTTATTTTCTAATAAATTCTTGTGAATCAGAAATAATTCTTTACGAAAAAAAGAGAATAAGAAAAAGAAAAAAAAATTTATTTAAAAAGATTTCCATGAGAAAACATTTATCCATATTTACTTTGATTTTGTTTTTTGTCAAATAATTCTTTAGAACTTTTATTACTTTATATTCAACCATAAAAATGCAAGAAACTTGGCGTTTAATTAATTTAATTTTGCATGTAAATATTTTCTAGCCATTTACTGGTCTTCCTATGAAAGTTCAAAAAGTCAAATCTTAGAATGGTTTCATTGGAAAAACACTAGTTTTTCAATTAGTTGTTTATGTGGCGGATTGTCAGGTAGTATTGCTGCTACACTTACACTTCCGTTTGATGTTATAAAAACCCATCGTCAAATTACTCTTGGACAAGTTTGCTTTTGAATATTCTTAATGTTTTAAGGTATTAATATTATTATTAATATTAATATTTATATTATAATATTAATATTTATTGTTATTACATCCAGTTACTTAATTTCAGTTATATGGAAATAATTCGTGTAAAACCGGTGGTAATAAATTTAATGCATCAACTTTCGGTATTATGAGAGAAATTGTGGAAGAAAACGGTCTTAAAGCATTATTTACAGGTATATTTATTCATAGTATTTGTTTTTTCATCCTTTTCCTTCTCACTTTTTTTTCTGTCCTGAAAAAGATGTATTGCAGGCTTAGCACCTCGTATTGCGAAAGTTGCACCAGCTTGCGCGATTATGATAGGTTCATATGAATATGCAAAGCTATTATTTGCAAAAAGCAATAAATGAGGTTACAGGAACAATTTCTTTATGAATTTGGTAAAGTTTGCTGTTAGGGCAAACAACAAATTATGTGAAAAATACGATTAATTATTTCAATACTTCCTGTGCTAGCAAATGATTTTAGAGAAATTAGGGACTTGAACTCTCAATTCAATTTTATAAATGTTCATATAGAGAAAATTATAAATATATGTATAATTAAAAATATAAAAAAACCTTTATATATATATATATAGAAAAAACCTATAAATATATATATTATACATATATAATATATATTTTATAATATATATTATAAAAAAATTTGCTTTAATGTCTGCAAATTTATAATTGATGTTTTGTTATTAACCCTGTTTAGATGGACAACTCTAGTGATGATCATTTGTTAAATTAGTAATGCAAAGGTAAAAAAAGTTGCAAAATCTTTTGTTCCATCTAAAAGGGCATTTTTATTAATTTACTGAAAAACTTGGTACCAGATAATTCTGAAATTTTTCTCAAATATTTATGGAACAAAATTGTAAAAAAAGATAACATTGGATTTAGAAACATGTCAACTTTATTTTCCATTTTAACTTTCGTTGGATTTTATAATTCGTAATATATTTCGTTGGGTTTCAGTTATTTACTTCAGTTATTTATTTTTTTTTTACTGAATAATTCTTATTATGGAATAAATTATTCCAAATTTTCGCCAAATAATTGACAAAAAAAATAGTTTTAATGTTTTGATGCCACTGAAAAACAAATCAATATTGTAAAGATAAATTTATAGATAGACAATCTGGCAGCGAAACAGTGGCTTTACTTGGATCTACCGTTTCGTTGAATTTATAAGGGAAGTGAGAAAATCAATCAATATGATTTTTATTACGAGCTACAAAATGATGATCAGATAGTAAAAAATATAAGGCTACAGTATTATAAAATCTAAACAAAATGACCTATTAAGGACAAAGGCAAGGCTAAACAAATTTGTACTTATTTATTAATCTTAAAAACGAAATTAGTCGAACTGTGCAGTTTAAAAATTGTGAGAAAAACGGTTATTATTGATACATATGGTAAATATCAGATGAAATTTTGAAATGTCATTTGTGAGAAAAATAGCCTTGTCCGTCCATTTTATTTTCATTCTTGCCAAGCCTGAATTCTCTGAGTTTGCTTTTCGAGTTCATTTGCAATTTCAGGAGGTAAATCACTTCCAACCTGAAATTAAAAATATAATTCTGGGATTTTCATTCTTTCAATAAATATTTTAAAAATAACAAGCTCAACGTATGAAAACGGTTTAACCAATAAAAATAATACCTGCATCTCAAAGAAATGTTTCGTCTCTTCCATATCTTCCATCCAGTAAGATTTTGGAATCGACATCAGTTTTGCCCAATCGATTTTCGGCAATCCTTCCAAATTGATACTTCCTTCAAAACGGTTAAAGGACTAAAGATCCAACAGATCAAATAAAATTATTAAATATTAGATATATTGGGTTTTATAAAGCAGCTTCTTCGTATTCATTGAAAATAAGTAAACACCTTTCTTGGGTATATAACCAATTGGTGTCTCAATTGCAATATTAGATATTTCAAGATCGTCACTACATCGTCGAAGAATCCAATCTAAAACCCGAATATTTTCGCCATATCCAGGCCACATAAATTTGTGGTCGTCAGTTTCTCTAAACCAATTTACATGGAAGATTTTTGGTACCTAAATCAAAGTACTATCAAAGTACAAAGTAGTAATGCAAATATATACAATATCATAATATTGACACTACGAAGAAATAATTATTAATTCAATTCAAATTTCTTCTAATAGGAAGAATTTCCGTACTTTTAAGGGATTTTCCGTTATTTCAAAACAGAAGTAACCTTTTTTCAAATTAACTAAAAAAGGAAATTAAACAGCTTAATAAGATAATAATATTGAAATAATAGCCCATTACCTTATGTGGAGGCTGACCAAGTTTCATCCAGTGGCGCATATACCTTCCAAAGTTATAACCCATAAATGGTCGCATAGCCATTGGATCATGCATTACTTGTTTTCCTGCAATGAATCGTAATGAACAATAGTGTTTCTATTTTCTCTAAAAAAATTACAAAAATTAAGATAACCAGTGTGCTCTGCAGCTGCTGTAGCCTCGGACTTGACACAAGCTCCGATAAAAATGCCATGTATCCAGTCAAAAGCTTCGAATACCAGCGGCACACCTTCAGGTCTAAAAAATTTCATATAATTTGTAAGTCATAATAATATGAAAAATAATGAACTGGAGAATTTCAAAATATCAACCTTCGACCACCAAAAATAATTGCAGAAATTGGAACGCCCTCTGGCTTTTCCCAATCTGGGTGAATGATAGGACATTGGCCAGCTGGTGCTGTGAAACGTGAGTTAGGATGAGCAGCTTTTCCAGGGTCACCAATGTGCCACGTCTGTCCCAGCCAGTTGATGATATCAACTTTCTAAATTGTTCAGAATGTAAAGAGAATGGAAATGAAAATGAAAACTGCTATCCATAAAATCAAAAAAAGTAAATTTAATTATATGTGAATTACATGCAATGTAATATATATTTAAATATACGTAAAAAAAATTTATTACGAAAAAATTTGCCGCGGAAATCCAATATAATCCAATTTGCTGCATAATAGTGCCAAACAATAAAAAATTATAATAGTAAAAATTCATGATCCATGGACAAACATTAATTTGATTAATTTCGAATACGACATAGTACTTCCATTAAAAACTGAATATAAATCTCTTTAAAAAATTGATAAAAAACTAACAGGGTCCTTAATTTCTTTTTCGAGTCCCTCCCAGAAATATTCGCCATCTGCAGTCTCTGCAACATTTGTGAAAAACGAATTCTTCTGGAAGCTTTCCATAGCCATTGGATTTGTCTTGTGCGATGTTCCAGGCGCGACACCAAAAAAGCCATATTCCGGATTGATCGCATATAATTTTCCATCGGCTCCGAACTTCATCCAAGCAATATCATCTCCTGCAAAATTCTTTTCTTGATTATATGTCTGGTTTGACACGCTTAAAAGATGAGGCCTTTTTTCACTAACGAACATGGATAATGAACTTGAAAAAAATTAGACCTCCGACTGTCCGAAGATCAGAAAGAAACAGATGATCCCCATCTATATATAATAAAATAAAAATCAAAAAATTTAATTTCAACTGATTAAGGAGAACAGTGACTTATTGTAATATTTAATTAGTATATTTAATTAGTACTTACCAATGACCTGGATTTTCCAGCCAGGAAGTGAAGGTTGAAGCATAGCCAAATTAGTCTTGCCACAAGCAGATGGAAAAGCAGCCGCAATGAATTTTTCTTCGCCTCCAGGAGGTGTGATACCCATTATCTAAATTTAGAATTGATAAACATTATAATCTAATTTCGAAACAAGCTTCTCCAAAGCGAAGACGAGAACTAGTATTACAAGCATATGTTCAGCCATCCATCCTTCATCATAACCAATATTCATGGCAATACGAAGAGCAAAACACTTTTTGCCTAGAAGTGAATTTCCACCATATCCAGAACCAAAGGACCAAATTTCTCGCTCTGCAGGACGATGAGAAATGAGGACTTTATCCGGATTGCATGGCCAATGATTTACGACTTTCGCTGAAATAATTCTCGTATAAGAGAAGTAGAGAAGTTTACAAAAATTTTCGATTATTTTCAAAAAGATGCTGAAAATTAGAACGATCAAATTCCCACAAATCGAATATGCACAAACTAAACTAGTATTTTTTAGAGATTACTTGTGACTGGTCGAGGAAGACCAACAGAATGAATGCAACGTACAAAGTCGCTACCATCATGTAACTGCTTCATAACTTTTTCACCCATACGAGTCATAATACGCATACTTAGAACAACGTAGCTGAAATCAAGATTATTATAATGATATCACGATTTACGATCAAATGAAAAGGGCAAAAAGTACTTTTCGGGCTAATTTTTAGAGTTGAAACTATTTGGAAAAAAAAGATTACTTTGAATCAGTAAGCTCAATACCGATCTTTGAAAGAGGTCCTCCAATCGGTCCCATTGAAAATGGAACAACATACATCGTACGACCTGAATCAATGACTTCAAATTCGTTTAAAATAATTACTGATGAAGGATGATTGAAAATTTTTTAAAAATTTAACGCTTAAAAATTTTCTTAAATTCTTTTAGGAAATTTTTCCCGTTTAAAATGAAAGTGAAATAAAAAAGTAAAATTTCCGATAACATTTGATAGTTTTTAAAAAATCGAAAACGTAATTCCCAAAATTTGGTGAAGCAGTGAAGATGTGAAATATGATTACAAATTATTGAAAACTATGTCTTCATCTGTTCTATATTGAAACATAATTTTTCAGAGAATTAAAAATAAAATGCTACCGGCCATGCAACCAGGAAAACGATCATCCAATTCTTTACCAAAATCATCCGGTGACATCCACTGTCCCATAATTGATTTCACCCCCTCAGGTATATGACACACTGAATCGTATTTATTTGGCGTGATCATGAATGTTTTCGATTCTACACGAGCGACATCACGCGGATCAGTCCGGCAAATATAACTGAAATTTTTCTACAAGCATTTACCTCAGTTTTACTTCAGTTTTCTTCTTTACTTTCCAACAACAATTCCGCTAATAAAAAAATAAAATAAAACAATAATACTAACAGCAATAAAAAATTGCAAATATGAGCCGACAAAGCTAACCAATTTTCATAAGCCTTCAGAGGTGACAAAACACCACGTTCGACGCATTTATCAATAAGCTCTTGCGCTTCACGTTGCGATCCATCACAAATAAAAATTGCACGTGGGTTCATGAGTTCCGCTTTTTCCGCGATAAAACGTTGAACTTTAGGCGGAAGCGACATAAAATCGCCCTGCAAAAAAATAGTACTACAAAATAATAAAAAGATCAGAAATGAATTATTCAATAAATAAAAATAATTAACCTTCAGTATAGGAATATGGTTGAGTTTATGCGTCACCACTTCGCTGACCACCTAAAAATTGTAACTTTTAAGACAATAAAAAATGAAAAAAAAAAATCTCAAAATTTCAAATTTTGAATAACCAAATTAAATAGACAAAAATCCGGCAAAAGATTTAATTTAAGTCCTTTCAAGCACAAAATCCAATATTTCCTAAGCCTAAGCCTAAGCCTAAGCTTTGAGTGTAGCATCCAAACACAAAACTCGATTAAGCCAAGCCTCGACCTCAAAATTATGGGATTTTGATGCAACTTGATAGAAATATCTTTAGCAGTTAATTGAATTTCTATAATTGAGCATATAATATATAATTCAGTTATTTAATAACATTTACAAAGAACACAGTTTTCGAAAATATTTATTAAAATTAATGGAAAAAAATAAATGAAAAATCTTTAAAATAAATTTTCCTTAGTGCTTCAAATGAAAATTATTTGTTAAAAACTGGATTGTTTCGAAAAGTCTATTTTTTAAAAGTAAAACTAACGGTGAATTCTTCATTTTTGAGTTCGGAAAGAGAACGGCAAGGCATAATGAATTCTGAAATTCGTTATAAAAACGACGAAAAATTAAAAATTTTTAAAAAATCTTCCGATGAAAATAAATTTAAAAAAGCGTCTTGAAGGTGAAAAAAGGGCAGACAAGAAATATTTAAATTATTTTATATGTAAACAAATAAAGACAAACAAAATAAAAATCAAAAATTCCGAAATAGGATTTTTTAAAATCGATTATTATTTATTTAAATAGAAGAAACCAAATACACATGCACCAACACACAGACACACACATACACACGCATACACATGCATACACACGTACACATGTCACGTGTGCGCACACGTACACATCCGCACGAACCTAAATAGCCAAATTCAATAAAAATAATCTCTCAAAAAAAGTTTATTAAAATCAATGGAAAAAAGCAAAAAAATAGGTCGAAAAATCCCTAAATGAAAAAAAAAATTTTTGGAATAACTGAATCATCCGAACATATACAATTTTAAATTACTTACAAAATGAATAGAATTATTTTATTTTAATTAATTAAATCCAAATTTTAGGTTTTTAGGAATTTGAAAATCGCTTATTCCATTTAATTACTTAATAATTGAATTTAAAAATTAAAATTTTACGCAAAAGATGAATTAAACAGCTAAATAGCAATTTTTTTGTTAATAAATGAAAAATTTCGAAATTTTAAAAAATTTTATTTCTTTAGCGGTCGTTTACGTTCCACTTTGCTATTCGTTTACGCTATTTATGAAGCATCAAAATTTAATACATGCAATTAAGCCTCTCTTAAATTTTTAAATTTAAACTTTTTTAAGCGTTAAAAGCAAAATTTTTAAAAGAGTTAAAAACAAACTAAATTAAATTAAATATAAAATTTAAATAAAGCAACAAAACTATGAAGGAATAAATTTAGTTTTTTTTTATGGTAAGTTTTGTTTCTTTTCATTTTATTTTTTTCCTCTCCTATTTTTATTTTCTTTATCTTTGACAGCAGTAAGCCTGCGTGATTTTAAAATCTGTGTGGCTGCTGGGGACTCATCTACAAAAAATTCATTCCCAAGTGACTCTGTGGTGAAAAGGGTCTTGTCTTGACGCATAATGCCTCCAAACAGCAAGATAAATATGCAATTCAGGCATAGCAAAATGATCCCAAGGGTTGACAATAAGATGAACTCTCGAGCCAAGATAATTGTTCGAAATTTTTCAAAGCTCATGCGGCGAAATTTTGTCAGCACGAAATGTCGGGACTTATGGACGTTACAAGCGATCACTTTTCACTTGTCGGAGATCCACCTTCTTCATCCCGGATTTTGAACAATTACAAAAAACTGGTTTCCAGCAAAGATACTGGCATCAGTGTGATATTTCGGATAATTCGGGGTAAAATGGTGTAGGAATTGTCATGTCTGAAAATGCATTCTGATTGAAAGGAAACCGGTAAATGACTGTTTGGCCCCGCTTCAAAGGAAAGTTTTGCAATATTTCGATCAGAAACTGTTGGAAGACTTCCCGTAATTTTTCTTACCATGGCGCTGAAACTGGTAACCTTATTCCAATAGTATTCACCATAACTAGTTAAGCTGGCTCTGTTGGTTACAAGGACAAGATGTTTCCAAACTGCACAATATGATGCCACCTTCGATATTGATATAAGCCATTCCTTTTTCCACTGTCTAATATATATAAGTATATATACTTATACTTCATATATAGTTAGTTCCTCTATACATTCAAAATCTTTCCTAACTGTATTAGACCAGGTCTTGATAGGAACTCCTCGCTTTTGATGCCATCCATCACAGGCTTTGGCCAATAGCGAAATATATGTTAACTCCTGTGACGCGTGCTTTAACCAGCGAAAGTGGTGCTTTGTGATGGTATTAATGCGAGTGGTATTTGGAAGAAGACAGATGCAATTACGTGAGATTTTATCAGCTCGGCGGATCCGTAAAATATATCTTACACATTATTATGTATCTGAGTGGTCAAGGCAGTCTTAATATCCTCCACATTCATGGCTATGTCTCGCAGTCATACAGCAAGATCGAGCTTATATATTATACGCGACTTTCGTTTTTATGGTAATTTCGCAACGGTTCCACAAAAGCTTCGTCAACCAGAAGAATTTTTGGCTGTTATCCGGGTTGTAATTTTGTCCTTTGCTTGGCCATTTGAGATTAAAGTGGATCCAAAATATCTAAAATTGCACTTCTTCAAACGGCAATGAAATGATAGAATAAGGTATTTTATACAGCCCTTCGTTTCATTTACAATGAAATAAGTCCGCTGCAGTTGTTGATATATTATTTAGCATTATTTGTATTTCTTCATAATTACCCACAAAAAGGATTACGTCATCAGCGTATTTAAATCACGTTTCAACACCCTCTATCAGCTGAATCAAAGGCAATTGCGAAGTCGATGAAACACGTGATAATGGGTTATTGATGTTCAAAGCGATGTTTCAACACGCAAGTGTTAGCGCAAATATCTGGTCAGCACAACCGCGTCCTGGTTTGAAACCAACTTGGTTAGAAGCATCTTGCTGTTTCGTATTACCATAATTCTATTCAGTAAGGAAGCAAAAAAATTTTTTCCGGAGATACCCAGTAAGCTGATTCCTCAGTAATTATTACAATATGTCCTGTCGCCTTTCTGAGAATTGGGTACAGATTTGATTAGCTCTGGTCGTCTGGTACTATTTTCTTTTTTTCTATACCCGGGCATACATTCGCTGAAGGTGTGTTATGAAGGACGGATAGCATTTGAATAGTTCACCCTGAAGAGTGGCCTTAAGAGTGGTAGCTTATGGATAACAAATTATAACAAATTACTTCCTTTTCTGTTGGCAATTCGCAGTTACAAATGTATGGCTCGATGGGCAAATCAGCTATATCCGAGACAATAGATGGCACATCGTAGTTAGATTTGGTCTCATGAATTCTTTTCATCTTATGAGGCAATCCTTAATAGCCTTAATAGGAACAATATTACTGTCCCGTATCATTTCACTGGTTGTCCTCCAAGTTATAGTTATGAAGGAGAATATTACCCTATTATCGCTTAAATGAGCCGCAATATCCTTTTCTAAGGCCATATCACTCCAATAATCTTCATGGATCACATCTTATTATTGTTCGAGCTGATAACTCGCAAAGAACGTCTCCTAAAACCTTTTAGCTACCTCAAATTGAAAGATCATGGAACAATTTTCAAATCGAATTATCGAGATCTGTATAACGACAGATGAACAGTGGTTCGAATTAAAGGTATTTCTCTGAAAGTCAGCCTCTCTTATACTAGAAAATGCGCTATCAAGACATCCTGAAAACCTAGTGTTTCGAAGAATTGAAGAATTATAACGACAACAGCTCGATGGTACAGAAATCGTTACTGCAGTATATGGCTTTGTAAATGGAGACGGCATTTAAGCGATTATAGAAAATTATTCCGTCTTCTTCATGAAGCAACTATAATTTATGGAAGATCACTAAGATAGCAATGGTGTTAAAATTATTAAGGACCGATTCATAAAGTGGAAAGAATTCTTTGAGGCTTAACCACGACGCACCAAAAAACAAATGCACAAATAAGATACCTTCAACAAATGTACTCTCTGATTTGGAAGAAAGAAATATTACCAGATGACTGGAGAAAATCAATTCTCAATTTTTCTCCCAATTTTCAAGAAAGGTACATATTGAGACAATTATCAAAGAATCGTCTTCTTGAATGTCGTCTTAACTACGACGTCTTACCGATTTTTGCTTCCCTTTTACTCAATAGATTTATGGAAGTACGGGACATCAGGATGCGCCCTAATCAAGCTGAATTCAGACCGGGACGCGGTTGTGCTGACCAGATATTCATGTTAAGAAAGTGTTCTAACATTATTTAAATATTTGCAACCCATCTTTACGTGTTTCATCGACTTTGCGGCTGCCTTCGATTCAATTGATACTACGGCGCTGTGGAAGATGATGGAACGGGATGGTGTTCCAGAAAAGGTCACTTGACTCATAAGGGCATTTTATGAGCATATATCGGCGCACATCTGTGAATATGAGGAACTGACAGATCCCTTCGAAATAAGAACTGATGTCCGTTAAGGTTTATGTCCTTCCCCTTACAATATTCAATTATATGATGGACTGGATAATGGGCATCGCTTGTCGGCTTCCAAGAGGTGTGCAAATTAGTCCTGAGCACGATATCATAGAATACGCTGATGATGTAGTTCTTTTTGCTGACAGTTGTGATGAAATGCAAACAATGCTAAATAAAAAGTCAACAACAACGAGAATCGGACTCAGGGTCAATGTAAACAAATTGAAAGATTTTCGTTTTATATACAAAAGCTGATAAAATACTTTTTATAAATTCACGGATGGTTGAGAAAGCGACTGATTTTAAATATCTTGGATCCACTCTAATGAATGGCCAGAGTGAAGATAAAATTTCAATCCGGTAAAATGCAGCTAAAAATACATTTTAATCTGGCCCTTGAGGAACACCAC